AAATCCCCACTAGGCCAAAGGAAAGAGAAATTTGAAGATTTTTTTCAATCAAAAATGTCATTGTTCCCAGAGATCATGTTATGTGCCCAGTGCTGTCTCGAGCTTTGGGGAATATTTGAGATCATGCGTTCTTCCAAAGAGCCTGGCTAAGAACACAATCTAAACACACATACACCATGGCCCTTTGTCTACAGAGAAGCTAAAAGTACATTTTGGCAGGTGTTTAAGTAGTCCACCATGCTATAAATTAACTGAGGAAAAAATAGAGACCACAAAATATAATTTCCCTTTGATGTATAGCTCTTCTTTCTCGTGAGCCATTGTTTCCTAACTTTCAGGGAATTCTGTGCAAAGCCAGCAAGTACCAGTGCCAGTGGGAATGAATTAGTGTCATTAAGGTAACCCCATTTGTATCTACAGGCTGTTAAAGGTCAGGGAGCTTGTGTGTGTGTGCATGTTTATATGTGTATGTGTACATGTGCACATGCGCGTGCTCGTGTGTGTGTGTGTGTGTGTATGTGTAGTATTGTGCATGTGTGTATGTATATGTGTATGTGTGCATGTGTGCATGTGTTTATGTGTATGTGTGTGCGTGTATGTGTATGTGTGTGTCCATGTGTGTATGTATATGTATATGTGTGCATGTGTGTGTATGTGTATGTGTATGATGTGTTCATATATGTGTTAATGCATATGTGCATGCAGGTATATGTAGCCATAAGTTGACATCAAGCATCTTCTTCCATCTCTCTTCACTTTACTTACTAAGACAGGGTCTCTTGGCTAACCTGGAGCTCTCTGACTCAGTCTAGCTAGCCAGCTTTATCCACCCCCACCCTCTCGAAGGCTGACACCATGCTTTCCTATGTCTGCTGGGAATCCTAACGCTAGTCCTTATGCTTGTGCTGTGATTTATCCACTCCTCCGCTCAGCTTCAAACATCTCTTGCTCTCTACAGCACAGTCCTGTGTGGCTCACTTCACAGACGAGAGAACCGGGTCAGAGCACACAGCTAAGACCATGGAAAGTCAAGACTGGGATCTTGGGACCATAAGCATTATCCACATGGTCCAGATGAGTTCAGATCTGTCAAAGTTGCCAGCTGACCACAGGACTCTACCTTCCCCGGCCTTTGGTAGGCAGAAGGCATCACTGGTATGACCTGCTCAGTTTCAGTTGACAAACCTGAGGTCAGTCTCCCAGGTCCAGCCCTCGCTGTTCCTTCTGCTCTACCGCACCGTCTCCTGCCATCCCGCTTTATTTTCCCTTTTCAAATCTGTGCCTTGAGTGTTTGGGGATGTGAAAGATTAATAACCTTAGTCTGGACTAGGCTGACTGTGGGCAGGCCCTGTGAGAACTTTTCCCACACTGTGGTGCCAGCAGGTCTCAAGCCTGAACTGCACACCCCTGTTATTCTTTCTAGCTGTGGGCCTCCCTGGAGCCACAGACCCCACTGTGAAAGACTGAACCAAAGTTTTGAGAGAAAGACCCACGGGACTGCTACCCAACATGTCAAAAGAGCCAGATCTGGATGTTTTTACCTTCACTCTGAAACTACTGTCAAACCAGAGCCGTGCTGGACCCATACCGAGCTGACACTTTAATCTCTGTAACTAAATCCATCAGTGAAATACGAATGCAGCCTACATTATTTTTTTCTTTCCTAGTCAGTGATTAGCAGCCAGAAAAAGTTCCTCTCAAGGAATTCATTTCCCTCAGGACCCTGTTCAAGTTTTAGGGTTCACCGAGAAATAAGTATGGGTCCATCTGCAGGTCCAGAGCAGGCCCTTTGGGTGCAGCACAGTGAAGCCAGACATGTGACATAGCCCCTGGTGCCATCCCTCATCAGTAAATCAAGTGGCCTGGCTTATGTGGATGCCTTCTTTCAGCTTTCAAGTTTCCATGGCCTTTGTCAACCTTGATCAAGGAAATGCTAAGCTTGCCTAATTTTAGTTTTTACACTTATTCTTTGACTTAACAAGCCTTTGGAAACATCTGGGTTCTACCAAGTGCTGCTTGTGTCTGCCATGGCAAGCACCACCCAGGAAAAGTAGAAGGATATTTAAGAGTATTTGATGGGACACGACCCTTGGCTACAGTTAAGCATGGCCACTGTCATTTCAAGTGGTGTTTCAGACGAGAAATGAAGGATGCCTTGGCACTGGCCAGGTGACAGGAGGCAAAAAAAAAATGTGCTTTCTGCACAGAGCAAACAGCATGTTTGGGTGGTCATGGGCTAGAAAAGTGTTAAACCGTTCAGAGATGTGAAAGCTCCTACAAGCCTGGAGAATAAATAGTGTGTAAAGGGAACATGGTTCCACTATCCTCAAAACAAAATCCCAGCTTAACCCCTCCACCCCCTTCTGTGGCTGTGGGAACTCTAAACACCCCGTCCATCCTCATGCCCCTCTGACTCCCGCTCTACCAGGCCACTTATCTCAACCTCAAGAATTTCCAGGGGCTGAAACATCCTCCCTTTTGTTCTTTTACAAAGGAGAGTTGATGGCCAAAGCAGAACACTTCAAATACCACGTGTTAAGACCTGTTGGGTCTGTGGCAGGTCAAGGGGTGTGTGCCTTGTGGGGCTCCCCTGAAAAACCATCAAGTACAAGCAGAGGTTTGAGGCAAGGAGAAAACAGTGTCTTCCAGAGGTGTCACAGGAAAGACTCTCTGTGTGTCCAGTTGGGATGCTTCTGAGCTGCCCAGCCAGGATGTCTGCCTTTGCAAACTTCCTCTGGCTTTGGGATCATTATAGATCCATGGCTAAGGGTTTTGGGTTAGCTCTGAAATCCATCTCAATCCGATTTGCTCATCGCTGGCCCATTGCAAGACAAACAAGTGGATATTTTTTGGGTTAAGTCAAGTAAGAAGGTTTGTATGGTTATTTCATTTTGCTTTAAATTTCTTTTTCATATAGTAGGTTCTTTCTGTATAGCCAGTCTAGCTGGGAACTTGTGACCCTTCTGCTTAAGCCAACTGAGTACTAGGATTACAGTCAGGCACCACCAAGTCCAATTCTAACTGTGTTAGAACAGTGAAAGCCATATGAGCATGTTGTAGAGGCTTCATGTAATAGAGAGAAAAACAATTCCTGGGAGTGCATCGCCTTGTCACAGACTGTCATAACTGCGTGTGTGCTATTCCCTTCTTTGTTATATGAATTTTTACTACATTTAAATTCAGTTTTTTTTCCTATTGGCATTTTGAACATTCCCCATGATCTTATAAAAATTGGATAATGTTCCCCTTGAGATTGTAGGCTGTGAAAGTAGTGTGTGCTTGTCTGAATGTTATCAGGGTATAGGATAGCACCGAGCTGAAGCTTCCCCCTCCTGGCTCTCCTTCCCCAACCTCATCCCTAGACACCCACTGCCAGCAGGCCAGCCCATGTCCTTCCACATGGGACTGACAAGCACAACTGATTTTCTGGACTCAGGGGTTTCTGTTACACACAAAATCTTCTTAACTTTCCCCCTTACTTACCATATCACTCATGCCAGAAAGCACAAAGCTCTTTCACTTTCAATAGCGACACAACAGCGTTCCACTCTACAGACATGGCATGGTTTATCTCCATCCAGACCCTAACAGTACCGTTTGCATAAGGTTTCTGCAGCGTATCTACTTAAGATGACCCAGGCATTCATCCTTTTGCACCCATACAGGTTTCTCTCTAGAGTGGGTAGCAGTAGGACCCCCGAGGGGCACAGAATGTGAACTTCCGAATTGCACAGATACTGTTATGTTGTGTTCTGTAAGGTGCATACCCATCTGTACTGTCTCCAGCAGCTCATCCATTCTTCTTGCTGTTGTTTTAAGACAGGATATCACTATGTGTGCAGGGTGGGATGGAACTTGTGATGTTTTCCTGTCTTCTCTGGAGTGCTGGAACTCTGACATGGGCCCCCACACCCACATAACTCCTCTCTCTTCATGTCCTTTCCTCCGCCCTTGCTGACGAGGTTGATGCAGCATCTCACTGGGGCTGTGGCAAGCGCTGCCCTCGTCCAGAGCTCTGTGCTCTCGGAATTGGTTCAGGTGGGCATGTAGGATTTCACTGTCTGTGAGTCACCTGTGTCCACTCTTCCTTTATCGACATATTAGATTGTAAATGCTATTTTGGCTGATTTATAATCCTTTGCTGTGTATTAAGAAAATTAACTCTATATATGTGTCACAAAAACTTCGTCTGAATATTTCCATATTCTGATATTACGTTTTTTCCCCTTTTGCCAGAACTTAAAATATTTATGTAAGAAGACATTCCATGGTTTTCCCTCATGGGAGTACTGAATCATTTGTTTGTTTGGCTGGTTGGTTGGGCTTGAACCAGGGTCTTACTATGTAGGCCCACTGGCCTTGTGCTCATAGGACTCTGCCTACCTCTGCCTCCCAAGTGCTAGCATTAAAGGCTTGTGTGCCACCGCACCCAAATGGGTTGTGGCTCTTAACAAACTATTGTGAAAATAATTTTCCCCAAACAAACGTCAGGAAATGATGGGCATTCCAAGAAAACCGTCTCTCTATACTCCCTAAACGCTAGCTCCAGGGACTAGCATCTTTTTTTTTTTCCACTGTAAAATTCATACGAATGGTGGGTGGGGGAGAACAGGTGGGGAAATCAAGGTCAGGTGGGGCGGCTAAAGAAATCGATTCCAGTTTAAGGAAAACAGGAGCCAGACGCCAGCGCCCACCTGCTTTAATCAGCAGCCCATCCCCCTGCAAACTCATTTTCCAGGCAATAGCTTAGCTCTGGCCTCTCCTGGAATGTAAACATTTTCCAAGGTTGGAGTGATCTTTTCACATCATAAAATATATAATCCTTCTGAAGTGGGTCCTTAGAGTTTCAGGTTGTCGGGCTTATCAAATAACTGAAATAAATAAATCAACCTTTTCCGGTTGGGGTCAGTGGCTTGCGGAACCAGTTGTAAATAGGGGATCAAGCTCACCTGACATTGCTTGCAGCGTTATTAGATGAGCTGCCCATAAGCAACTGTGTCCTCCACAAGCTAACATCTCTTACTCGTGACTGCTTCAGTATGGAAACATTCACGGGTACTGTCATGGCTGAACTGTGCCCTTCCCTGCAAAGTTCATATTGAAGTCTTAATCCTCCAAACCTCAGAAGGTGAGTGTATTTAGACATGGGGTTTAAGAAGGCAATTAAGGTTAAATGAAGTTGTTGAGGTGGCCTCTAATCCATGTGACTGGTCTGTTTATAAAGGAGATTAGGGCTCAGGCATCCTCAGGAAGATGTGGAGATGGAGAATTGGGCATCCTGAAACCAGAGGCGCCGGCATGGTGCTGTTGGACTTCCAGTACAAGGAAGCTAAGGTTAGTTTCTATGGCTTAATATACATGCCTCTGCTCCTTTGCAAGGAAAGCCCTAGAGAATTAAGATCCCAAAATGAAAAGAACAGTATATTGAACCCTATGTACCTACCACCTAGCTTCAATAATTTACTAGGCACACAATTTTTTTTTTAGAATATTCTAAATCTCAAACATCAATCACATCATTCGCTGATAAACCTTGCATCTCTATTTAAGGCTTTAACACAAGCCTTATCCACTAGATCATTATCTTACTTGACAAAACTGCTTGGTCACTCTCTGGTTATATTGAAATCCTCCCTATGTCTCAGAGAGGTCGTATTTATGGACACTTTATATCAAAATCAAAATTCAGCTTTGTATTGGGTGGTTGCTGCTTTTAAGTTTCTTTTATTGTAGCAGAGACTGCAGTCTTCTTGTGAGAGTGTGATTTATTGGAAAATGCTAGGCAGCTTGTCTTGGAGAGCACCCATCTTCTGATTTGGCTGATTCTTCGTGGTGTAGCTTAATTTATTTCCCTCTGCCTTGAATTTTCTGTATTTAGTAATCCAAGATTTAGAGGCTTGTCTAGATTCCGCTTCAGTGTTTTAAGCAAGAATATTTCATTGAGATTTGAATTTTTAAAATGTTAAAATAACCCACAATTTATTTTTTTTCTATTGGAAATATGCCTAACAGCACATAAAATAGGTCCTGGGTAACTGGTAAAGACATTCTGATGTTTTGCATGACAGTCAGAAAACAAAATGAGAGGAATAAGGGATACGCCAAGGTTACCCTTTCCAGTAAAAATCTATCTGAGAATGGAACCCCCTGACTGCAAGAACTACTACAAACTCCGGGGCTTACAGAAGAAAGGTGTATTGTATTGCTTTAAAATCATGTTGGTGTGGTAGCCACCTGTACCAAACAAAAGTGAGCCCCGACCACCATACCTGACCCTTCAGAGGCTTCCTTTTGCTGTGTTAGAAGCAGAATCTTCTCCGCTCACGTAGCACTCCCTAAGGTCCTCCCTGGGTATGGGGCTTCACGGAAGCCCCGCTTATGCAGCAGAAAACCAAAACAACCTATGCACTCAAATCAAATGGGGGCTTGTCAAGTCTGTTGTGGAATACAAGCTGTCTTTAAAAATTCGGTAGAATTGCGTGTGTTAGCATGAGCCATCTCTGAGATATAGTGTGTAGTGAGGAAAGCATGTAGCGTAGGCTACCAGTCGTGCAATGCTTATGCTCACTATAGGGCTGGGATAGTATTACAAGCATACAGTCAGAGCAAGGAAGGGAAATCAGAGGGCTGGGTAGGCAGCTGGTACAGAAGATAGATTTGCTTTTATTTGTAGGCTCTTTTGTGATCATTAAAGTTTTAGCTATGAATAGGAATTACTCCTTCAAAAATAGCAATGAAGTTAACTAATGCTTTGGAAATTGGGGTGTCCTGCATGAACTGTCAGTGATGTTCAGAGCTGAGCCAGGAGTTGTGGGTCCCTGACTGCGTTCATCAAGCCCAGGGATGACAGACAGCTGTGGGGTTTCCTTTGAAATACTTTTCAGCTTGTGTCTGAGCACTTTGAAGAGGCAAAGCAAACAGACTTTTGGAGCCGTTTTCAGGAATCGACTGTGTTCTGTGTTTCAAAGGATTTAACTCACAAATGGACCTTTCTCTAGACTGACATCGCCCACTTTGAGAAACTAAAACAAGTAGCTCGTACCCCCCCCAAATGTTCTAATTATTATTACCTCTGATCAAACATGCAATGTCAAGTCTGGAAGAAAAGAGGAATTTCCAAAATAGAGTCTGTTAATGTTTTCATAAAACATGCCATGATGGACTATACATTGCAGGGACCAGGGAGGAAGTCTATTAATAGAACTGTGCAAACAATAACAAGCCCGCAAGGGCCTGGACATTTTTACAGATATGAGAATGAGCTCTTGGCTCTGTAACTGCGGAGCCATTAAGACACCTGCCAGCATGACTTCTTATTTGTGTAGGTCCCCTCACCCCATTAGACTGTGTGTGGAAAGACATTTTCAAACAAAGTAAAAATCAGTCAAGAAAACTCAAAAGCCCCAGCTCTGAAGTTTGTTGAAGGCAACATTTGGGAAGCATGAGCCATGGACGTCAGCGAGAAATGCTGCTGAGAGTTTTCAAAGGTTTAACCCATCAAAGTCCTGATTCATCCAGGTGACGTAGACAGATGCCCACTGATGGAGCTGTCTCCAGACTCTAGGCTTCTGGGATCCATGCTGCCAGGCACCTGTTGTCACAGAGCAAGCTGTCTCCTCCTAGACCTTTATTCTAGCAGCTGAACCTGCTCAAATCCAGCCTAAGAGTGAGACTATGGGGATAGTGAGACCAGAAACCTTCCTGCAATTCTTTGCCCTATTAACTGTTCAAATTCCTCATTTATTCTTTTGAGAAAAGGGGCAGATAATATGTGTGCTAAAATGTTATAAATATATCATGGTGATCAAAGGCGTGGTTAAGATTTGGATCTGAAATAATCACCAAAACTCAGGTGTTAAAAGAAAAGATGTTGACTCTAATGGGCCAGTGGGCTGAAGTGTGCAGCCCTTGGAAGATGATTAGATCACGTGGCTCTGATTGCATAAAGGGACGTTGCTAGAAAGTGGTAGAATCCTTAGTAGGTGAGCCTATTTGAAGGAAGTGGGTCCCTGGGGGTTGTGGGCAGGCTCTGGAAGGGCATGTCTAGTTTACGGTTCTGCCTCCTCCCTCTTCCCCCCCCCATCCCTCTCTCCCTTTGCACCTCCCTCCCAGCTGCTGTGGGGGCAACAGCTTGGCTCCATATTTCTGCCATGACAATTCCGTTTCACCAACCGCCCAGAAACAACAGAGCCAAGAGACCATGCACTAAACCCTTTGAAATGATAACAATAAGTTAATTGGGGGGGGGGCATCAGTCACAGTGACATTAGTCACAGTGACAGAAGGTTAGAGGACCTATGGGGACTCAGTTTGAATCTCAGTTCTACCATCTGATCCCCACAAGACTGCCCCAGAGGCTGGTGCTCGAATTGAAAACTATGAACTAATTCTGAAGGCTTTCCCTTCAGAGAAACTCTCTCTCCCCTACCCCCAAGTCCAGCTGGGAGGGCAGCTTGTGTACGAAACATTCCATCAAGCATCAGGACCCAAGGGAACTATGGTCCTAGGCTCTTCCTGGTGGGAAGGGGAAAGGACCCTCAGCTAAGCTAGGGCCTCCTCAAGAGAGGAGCTGTCCTGAGCAGAATCTGGAAACTAAGTTGCTAGTGGATATTAAGAGACAGTCATGGTGGACAAAGAAGGATTCTGCAGCTGGAAAGTGACAGAATGCACCTAGCTAGGCTCTGGCACACAGCTGGACAGTGACCCATCCATTATCTGCAGGAGGGTTTATTTTTAAGATAAGGTCTTTGAGGGGAAGCTCAAACCTGGCTTGAATTTGCCACACTCCTGCCTTACCCTACTTCCTGTGTGTGCAGGAATTAGCTCAAGTAGCTCCATGAGGGTCATGGTGTATACTATACATTTCTCCTTACCAGAGTTTGCCAACAACATGCACTGATAGCAGGTAGAAGGTCTTGAGCACTCTCCCTCCCTTCTGGGAGACTTCTCTCTCTGTCTCTGCTCCATTTCTTTGAAATAGTAGGGGCTGTTGATGTGGACAACTTACGGGGTGGAAACAGTGGAGGGCAGAGAGTCACTGTGTAAAAAGGGTCACATGCCTCTCCACCTTGTCGAGATATCCCTGCCCATTGGCATCCCCAGTTGTCCCAAGTGTTACCCATTTTCACTGAATAGACTGTATGGCTAGAAGGTCCCTCCTTTCTAAGCCTAGGTTTATAACAGGAGGTCTGACTCACTGTGGGGGACAATTTTCAATCTTCATATGCCTAAAGAATTTACTAATTTTAACACATTTATAATTCAGACAACTGAATGTTTTCTTGGAAGCCATTCTGAGCATCACAGGTTACTGAGAAGGCTGCCATCATAGATGTTGCCATGTTGAATAACTGGATGTCTTGATATGAATCAAGGAGTCACTTGTTCCTAGCAGTAAACCTACTTGAACCCACACTTGGTCTGAGGTACCTTTGAACTCAGAACACCTGCTTTTCTACAGCCTGGCTGGACATCAAACTGACCCAGAGTTTTCCTGATCCAGGTTGACCATCGTCGTTGAGATATAGAGGCCCTAAGACAATGGCAACAGTCACTGTGCTGGTTCACAGACGTGACTGTGGGGAGTCTAGGAGCAGAATCCTTGCAGTTCCTGGGTAGCCTTCTCTTCCTCCTAGCACAGGGGCCAATGCTAGCACAGGGGCCAGCAATGCGGTGTGCTTGGTGTTCATTCCTGGAAGTTCCCTTAAGAATCTACCTCTTCAGCCCTCCCAGCAATTCCCAGGAAATACACAGAAGTGTCTGTATTTTATGTCATCACTGGGTGCATTAAAAAGACAAGGAAGAAGCCAGAAATGCAGAAGAGTCAAATGTAGGCTTGGCAAACAGAATGCAAAGTTTGAGGCTTAGACTTGGTCCCTTAGCAGGGAGTGACTTCTGCCTCTCTTTTCAGTCTTGCTCTAGATGCCCCACTTCCTACTGCCCTCCTCCACCTGGGATCTGCCCAGGCCTTGGCTTACTTGCACATGGGGCTTCCTCCTCAGACGCTGAACTCCTTAGTCCTGACCTATGGTGCCTGTAAACTCCTCCAGGGGAATGTCTTCACAAGAGCAAGGGCTTTTGTCCACTACTGTCTCAGCGTTTAAAATGTCTCATATTCACTAATGATTATAGAGCCCCATCACCTGTGCTTGGCTTTTGCTATACAAATCCCCATGCCAATCTAATGCAGAAGGTACAAGACCCATATTTCACAAATGAAAGAGGGAAGGCTGCAGAAATTAAAGAATCTGCAAGAAATCCTACAGGCTATTTAATGAGAAAATAAAGGAATAAAATTTTCAGTAAAAACTTCAGTAAATTTCAGTAAAAAAACTTCAAAAAAATTTCAGTAAAAAAAAAAAATAAACAATGTGTCCCAGTATTCTCAAAGAAGGGAAGAAAGGTGACAATAACTATAAGGGAATATAGCCAGAACCTTGTTCAAAGAGGTTCGTTCTTATTTTATTATTCTAGTAACCTTTTTAAATACATGACTTTTTGAGAAATAACTTGAGATGATCAGCTTAGTTGACAAATTGAAAAAGAAAACTTGTGTTTATTTTATAAAACATCAATCATTGCTGAATCAGTGCTCTAGAGGCATCTGCTTGGCATTGTGATAGCTGAGGAAGGTCCTTCCTTCCCAGGTCAAAATAGCTTCAGGCAGTCACACCATTGGCTGTGACTTGGTGTCCTGCTAAAATACGTATCCCCTGAAAAACAATCTAGTCTTCTCAGATCTTTTAAATGATGATTCCAATGATCCATAAGCATCCCCCCCAAGGGAGAAGAAGGGTAGACAGTCTTGGAGGGTTCTCCCCACTGAGGGTGGGGATCGCCCAGGGGAGAGAAGAAAGACCAATTGACAGGTGTCCCCTACTAAACACATCTAAAGTAGATTGGCAAATTAGTCTAGTAAAAAAGCTTGCATGTTTATCCTAAGTTTTCCTCGTAGATTTGAAAGTGGTAGGAACTCCGTCTACCTTCTCAGCTGTACCCCAGCCTCCTAAATAAGAACTGTGCCTGGCATGTAGCATGTTGGGGGTGGCTCAGTGCAGATGTTGCAGTTAATCTCAGGGTCCTCCCTGCCCTCTTTCTGCCTTCCCATCCTTCCAGTAGGTTCTGTCTTCTATATCCCACCAATTTTCTCCCCTAGAAGTGAACTTCTCTTTGGGGTTTTTCCAGTAACTATTTCCACAAGGACTTATATGATGACTTTGATCATATCTAGATAGAAATTTGTGAAGAGTTTTGAAAAGCTTATTAATATCTTTTATGGCAATATGTCCCATTATTTTTAATCCTAACTCACTCGGTAGAGGGCAGAGGCTTGGCATTGTTGGCTCTGTGGTCCTTTTTTTTTTTAAAGATTACTCTGTGTGTGTACATGTATGCACATTACAATGTTACATGGGGGCTGAAATATGAACTGAGGTTATCATCACTGAGCAGTAAGCACTCTTTTTTTCTTCAATGATTTTTTATTTAACTTCTTACACATGTTACTCTCATTTTCCTCTCCCTCCCCTCCTCCCCTGGCCCCCCAATCCTCCCAACCCCTCATCCCACTCCATCCCCCCTCCACTCTCCAGGGAAGGTAAGAGCTTCCATGAGGGATTTTCAGAGTCTGTTATATCATCCCAGGCAGGACCTAGTAAGCACTCTTAACCAATTCTGAAAGTGCTGGATTAAGCCCAAGTTATCATTAATGCTTCACTGATGTCAACTGGAGAGCATTCTTAAAGCATTACTTATAACTTTAACTTACAAATAAGCAACACACACACACACACACACACACACACACACACACACACACACACACACCACTTTCCCTAGGAGGAAATGAAGGAAAAATACATCACTGTAAGTGCCACTGGGTAGCTCCAAGATGTCCTTACCTTCTTTGATTTAGACAGATGATCTGATAACAATTCAGCTCGCTGAATGTAGCACCAATGAGTTCTGTTGAACTGTTTATTAACAGCGGGTAAGACTTTATGTTGAGGTTGCATTATATATTTCCATATCTGCTTTCTTCCCAAGGATCAGCTCTCCTAACTACTAAGAAATGTTCATTTTCTACAGATGTTTCCTTTTTCTTTCTTAGGAAGGTGTGAGCACTTACAGAAATATCGCATGGCATCTCCATGGCAAAATTAACTTCCCACCACTTTTTAAAAAAATAACTTACTTGTTCTTATTTTATTTGCTTTGGCATTTTGCTTGCATGTATGTCTGTGTGAGGGTGTCAGATCTTGGAGTTACAGACAGTTGTGAGCTGCCATGTGAGGCTGGGAATTGAACCAGGGTCCTCTGGAAGAGCAGTCAGTTCTCTTAACCACTGAGCCAGCTCCCTATCTTCTCTGCCACTTTCTGTATTGGGTTATGATGGGGTGGAAAGTCCATCAGGTTCTCCTCCTCTCCTTCCAATCAAACATATCAGCAAAGACAAAAAGGCAGCCAACATGTAAGCAGGCAGCAGGGTGTTACTAACTGATGAACACAGCCTGTAAGCTCTAGCTGCAGGTTAGGCTGCAGCTCCTGGGTCTAGTTGCTGTTAGCAATGCTGTCTCTCAGGTTAACGTGTGATCTGGTAGGCTGCATTCATGACGGCTTGTGCGTATGACGGAAGTAAACAGTGGCAGGCCCAGTTCCACTGTGTTCTAAACGGAAGAGAGAATGGTGTGCCCCTTCAAGTTCCTGGAATAAGGAGCCCCTGGCTTTCTGTATCTTCATTTTGAGGCAACATGGGAAGAGAATATCACCTCCTGGGAGAATAATTGAACTCATTCTTTCCAGAACTTTCTAGCAAACCACTACAGAGGTTTTTGTCTCATAGGAGACTTCTTCCTTCAGAAGGTCTACTCTTTCTCAGAAGGTGTCAGAACTGTTGATTTTGTTATCACCTTACTACAGATGAGGAGCTGAGGGGACAAAGGGTCTAACTCCAGTTACATAGGATACTTAACACAGCACCTTAAAGCCAGAGCGTGCCTAACTCTAACTCCTTACAGGCCACCTATCCAGCAATCAGACCCTCTCCCTCTCTCCTTCCCTCCCTCCTTCTCTACCTTCTTTCTTCCTTCTTTCTAGTCTCAAATATCCCAGACTGGTCTCAGACTCACTATATAGACAAGGATGATTTCGTTTTATGTGGTGCTGGGTATTTTTCGATGTGTCTAGTATCCATAAATCCTTTATTAACCGACATACATCCCTGGCACCTTTATTTCATTTTGATTAGCAGCAAACTGAAAATAATATGGACTTAGATTCTTTCTTTAATTACAACACTATAAAGGCAATCAAAGAATCATATCTTTTTTACTCTCATTAAAACCATTCTGGGCTGGGGAGATGGCTAAGTGAATTAAGTGTTTAAGTTCAGATTTCCCAGAGTCCACATAAGAGCAGACTCAGTGTGGATCTGTAATCCTAGTTTTCTTACAATAGATGGCATCAGAATCCCAGAAGCTAGTAGGTCAGGTAGCCTGGTGAACCTAACTATAGACAAGAGGTCCTTCATGTCTCAGTGTTGGAGGACAAGGACCAACACCCAAGGCTGGTCCTTGTACACACAGCCTTGTACATTGATACCCACACTCAGGTACATGCACACTCTCCCATGCTCTCTCTCTCTCTTTCACACACACACACACACACACACACACACACACACACTCACGCACGCTGCTGTTTCATTACCCTCTTGCATGCTTGGACCCTTGTACCTTCCTCCCTGTGAGTGGCTGGAGAAAGAGGAGGCATTATGTCATGTCAGCCCGCAGTACTGCTCACCTCCAAACCTCATTATGACCAGTCACTTTCTGAAGCTGGCCTGTAGTGCTGAGACAAATGATTGCATGAAGTTTTAAATAAACATACAGTATTTACATTATGCTGTTTCTTGGAGTGATTTATCTTCATCTTCTTTCAGTCCTGCTCTCTGGACATAAAAGACACAAGCTTTCTGCAGTTTATACAAACCAAATCCTCTGTTTGCTCTGATTAAGCATTCATGGGTCTTTAATATTGCACAGGCTTTAGAGTGGGGATTATTCCCTTTGGGGGCAGTGGAATTAAATACATTAGCCAGTAGAGATAAGGGAGGGCAGGGGAGTTTAATTGCCATTAAAATAGATATGGTCGGTAACAAAAATAGAAGGCACAAAAAACAGTCTGTATTCTCATTTTCGCCTATCGTGGATAGAGTCCTGTGATCATGTGATCTTGGAATGCTTCCAAAGCTGATAGTTTGGGAGATGTGGAAATGGGCCAGTAATGGGCCAGGGAGCAAGTCAGTAACTGGGTCCCTCGGCTGCCTTGCGCCTCAGGGACCTTGCCCTGAAGAGTGGGAAGACCAGTCATCCACCATGAAGAACATTCAGCTCTGTCTGGCATGATCCTGACTGAATCCGTGTAGCACCGCCATGTCACCCAAACCCCCACAGCTCTCTGAAGGCAGTTCAGAAGCTCGGCGAGGGCAGCTACCTCACTGTGTGGCCCCAACCAAGTAACTGGAGGAAACCATCACAGGTGATTCCAGCCGACAGCGCTACACGTTTTTCCCCTTTCATAATTGCCTGATCTGTCAGAGTTTCCCTTTTCGTTCCACTTGTGGATGGTGTAAATGGATCTTGTCATGCTCCCCCAGGAGCTGACACTTGGGGTTCACAAGGTAACTTGTCCAGTTGGCGTGTGTGGTACTGATGCAGCGGAAATGGCTTTCAGAGAGCACTGCGTGAGCCTAAGAGTTTCGCAGTCTTTTACTTTGCTGGCTTTAGTTCCAAGCCGGATTGGGGGGCGGGGGAGAACAAAGCAAATTCTTGGCCAGTGCCAATTAGGAGCCCTATGAAAGTTAACCATAATTGGGGAAAACGCGACTTAAAAACCCAGGGCCTGGAAAGATGGCCGGTGGGTGGGGTCGCACACCTGCTCTTTAGAGGACCCCAGGTCAGTGCACAGCCCCCACACTGGAGGACTCACAATGGCTCCAGAGGATCCCACAGCCCCTCTGGCTCTGCAAGTACTGCACTCAATGTACAAACACACCGGTACACACATAGTTAAAATGTAAAATACAGATTCATGTATGTATATTAGCAAACTCTATCTAGACTAATACTAAAACCAACCAGTAGCAGAAATCAGATTGGGGACTGCCTGGGGTGGGGGTGACAACAGAGGGGAACATAACAGAGACACAATAGGTACAAAGATTCAAGGCCAACTCACACACTAAAAGTAAGCGGATTTTACTGTGTACAAGTCACATTTGGATAAAACCGACTTTTAACTTTTATCAGTTTTTAGTCCTAAGGAGCTTTGGGAACCTTTTCTAAATCTTTTATTTTAATGTAATAATTATTAAAAGAATTAAGCTACCACTCCATGAGTCGTTAGCAATAGAGCGGGATATTTCCCCCTCCAAACAAACACAATAGATATCCATCAGCTTTAAGTGCTGTGGCTGACAGTCTGGGCCCTTACTGCCAACTGCTATCTGACAAGTTACAGGATCGGGCGGGCAGAGGAGCTGGGAACTGCAGGCTGCCAGCTCTCCGCCAGGCTGCACAGTCCTCTGCATCCCGAGGCTGTTCATTCTCAGCGGAGAATATCAACGTTCTTTAATAGCAAGATGTGCCTTTTTCTCCCACGTGAACACGGGGATACATATCCATCAACCTCATCCCCTGCGCGGCTTCAATTTTTCTATTCTCCAAGTGCCAGCTCTGGCATATTACACGTGTCCATTCCGGAGGCTGGGTAGATGCAGGCACAGGAAAACATGGTTCAACAGTTCCAGCACCTAAAAGGAAGAGCAAAGCGCAGATGGGGGATCCGGGTGCCTGAGTAGCCAGGTCTAGCAAGAGCAACAAATCCCCAGCTCCGGGTGGGCGATGGATCCGACCTCAGGAGACTCGCTGCTGCGGCAATGCATCCCTCTTCTAGAGCCAGACACACCCTGCTCTTGCTCTTTATAGATGCCTAGGGTTCGGGTGTTGTGATTCAACAGTTGATACTGAACATCGCCCACCCCACCCCCAGAGGAAAGACAGCCAGAGCCAAGCCATTTCTTACTCTCTCTGTGGTCCTGCAGGCTCTTGGAATGTTTACACTAAACTCCAGGCCTTGGAAGAGAATTTACAGCCTTATCACTGGAATTAAAGGCAATGTCAGCCAGGGGGATGTGCATCTCCTTTGCGCCTTTTCCAAGCAAGCCAGAGTTGGCTTCGTTTAAGGCGGGTGGTTATTTTATCCTCTCCCCGTCTCTGACTGAAGTTCTTCTTTGAAGATTCCCTGTCGTCTTATTTGCGACAGTGAGGATTTATCTGTGGCTTCTATTCTAATATTAATATCTAAAAACGATTTCTATAGGAAAATCTCATAAAAATCAGATTCTATGAAATCAATGAAAAGATTGCTGCAGGTCATGTTTCCTTTAAAGAATTAAATTGATATGAAAGAATATTGGAAATAGTTGTAACGTTTAAAAATAACAGCAAACATGTAGCATTAAACACTATAGCCATTTTGTTTTATGGACTTTGAAAGTCCGTGATCCAGTCTGGAGTTTTCAGAACCCCTTGCCATATTAGTAGGTAATCATACCACATGTTTGCATTTGTGAACTCATTATTTAAGTTTTTAAAAATAGATGTGAATATTCGTGTCTTATATGCATGAAACTATTTGCATATTTCTGTTGCTTTCCCCAGGACCATGTTTCTGAGAGGTCTCTGTTCTGCTGATGCAGCTATAATTTATCCATGTTTGCCGCTGTTATCCCCCCCCCATTCTTTCCTGGTCCACAACTGGAGTATTTCCCATTTTATCTATTTGGAGTGCTGTAAATGATTTTATATATTCCTCCTGGTACAAACTCTAGACATTTTCTAGGTTCAGCAGGGAGAGCATCCACCGTTTTCTATATATGTTGAGATAAACTCTCTCACGAGCCATATTTAAATATAGAAACTGCCCACACCTTCACCAGCGTTTCCTATTGTCAGTCTTTTTTTTTAATTTAATGTCAATAAGACAGACACTTCTAGGCCGGAGAGATGGCTCAGTAGTTGACAGCACTGACTGTTCTTCTAGAGGACCCTGGTTCAATTCCCGGCACCCACATGGCAGCTCACAACTGTCTGTGACTCCAGCTCCAGGGGATCTAACACCCTCACACAGACATACATGCAGATAAAACACAAATGAACATAAAAAATAATTTTTCAAAATGTTTAAAAGACAGACCCTTCTTATTTTAACTTGCAATGCTAAATAAGTTAGAATACTAGATGCATGGGTTGCTCATTCCATATGTATTACTAATATCTACTTTTGTCCTTTCACTATCTTTATAATGAATGTTGTTGAGTAGGGTTCTTCATTTTAATGTAGTTTAATTTTTCAATCTTTGTCTATATGGTTTGTGTTTGTCTAATTTAAGAAACGCTTCCTTAATCCCAGTCTACAAAGGGAGTCTTGTATACTGTCAAGAGTTCTAGCATTTTCCTTGCACATTTGTTTTACATCACCAGAATTCACTTTCATGTTGTCAGAGAAGATACGAACTCAATTTTGTGGGCCATGTAAATAGTCAGTTTTCTACCTGTCACTTTTGAGAGTCCTTGAAATGTCGTAGCTTCCGTTACAAACTTAATACCCAGAAGCATATGCAGTTTGCTGAGTTGTAACCCGCAATCCCCGGGTTGAAGCCATAGACTCCTGGGATGTAATTAGGATTATATGAGGTCATGAGGATGGGGCTTCATAGAAGGAGGAAGAGAGTCTGCTATCTGTTACAAGAAGACTCAGTAGGGAGGCAGACACCCCTAAACCAGGGAGGGATCCTCATTCAGAACCAAGTTAGTTGCCATCCTGCTATTGTCCCTGCCCCCAGAGCTGTAAGAACGAATGCTCACTAAGCCTTACAGCCTGTGGCATTTTATCATAGCAGTTCAAGTCGATAAGCATTGGTGTATCTCTTCTGGGCTCTCTATTGTACGATTTGCCTACCCTTAACCTCCATTATTATGCATTATAAATAGCCAGCCACACATAGTACACTAATTCTCCTTTGGCCCTGTGATTCTCTTACTTGTTAGAATCATCCCTTCACTTGACACAGAATAAAACTTGGAGATTTTTATAAGAATCATATTATAACTCAATATTGACTTAAAGAACTCTACTCTTAATGATATTGAACTTTCTAACCCAACAGCATAGTATATGATTTAAGACTTTGCTAATGTATTTAAATAAATCTTCGTAGTTTTATACATATTCTCTGAAATGTATTCATAGAGCTTTTATATTTCATGATGCATTGATGTTTTCTTTCTTTAATCATTCACTTCTGCATCGCTGGGGACCAAGTCCAGTAAGTCCCCTATGCTAAGCAAGTGCTCTGCCAGTGAGTCCACACCCCGCCCCAGCCTCATTGAAGAAGTGCCATAGAGTTTTAAGCATTGATTTTGACATTCAGCAACTTGTCATGTTATCTACTGGTTATTTTCTTCTAGATTCAATTTTTCTCTGGGAATAAAGACAGTTTCATTAGTCGACAAATCTTAAACATTCTAAAATTTTAACTTACTTCTACCTTAACTGTATTGGAGAAGGGTACTCCTAGGAGGCTGTTTTCACAGGGAAAGCTCTATATGTTGGATTAGGTGTGGGGTTTACAGTAGGTGCCCTTTGTGCAGGAAGTTCTGTTCCTGTTTTAGTAAGCACTTTCCATGACTGTACGCTCAGCTTTGGCAGACAAGTTTATGTTATTGAGATAATCCTGTGCTTTCTTTATTACTATGACATGTTTAGGCGATCAGTTTTCAATGTAAAAATTCACCTCAAAACTCAATTTTGGTGTATAACTTCATTCCACATATTTTGCTTGTTTGCTTTTGAGCCTGGGTGTCACACTGTAACCCAGGCTGGTTTAATTACCTGTGATGTAGTCCAAGCTGGCCTTGAGTTCATGGTGATTCTCTTGCTTCAGCTCCCAAGTGCTGGTCTTCTGGGCATACACCACTATGCTTGACTCTCCACGTCATTATTTCTTTGAAGCAAATGATTTCCTTAGACTTTGCCCCATGTTGATGATACTGAACATTAGAAATATATTAAAATGGCATTCCTCTCTGTGATCTTGAAATACCTGTGTCATAAGTCCCTTGCAAGCACCATAAAAATGAGCATTTAGCCCCCAACTATACACTTCAGCCTTGGAGTTTTAAACCTTGAACTCATCATTTGAGCAACTCATGGAGTTTCAAGAGCAATACCTCCAATTCTTGAACAGCATAAATGTGATTTTATCCTGAAGAGTTACAGTCAGCTTCCTTCTGTGCTCTGGGTAACCATTTGCGTTGGATCGCCATACTTGCCTGGTATTTCCTCAAAAGTGAGCCTTCTCCTTTAAGGACAGGTGTGGCAAGCTCCAGCTCTCCATCCTTAAACACTGCAAGTGTCCCTTCTAAACCTTTTGCTGCTTCACAATCGCTTAATGGATGAAAAATAGGACATACATGCAAGCAAATATTCACATGCATAAAATAAAAACAAATACATCATTTGGGGGAAGAATTTTGAAATGTGGCCCAGTCAAATATTGACCTTCATGCACCAACCCC